GTTAACTTATCAAACGAAATTAACGAGCCGAACACGAGCTGTTCGCGAACAACGAGCCGTTTTGACAGCCCTAGCGACAAGTGTCATCCATCATTGCCCCCTTGTGCCACCTTGTTCTCCAAAATAATAATTTTCACTGGTATATTTGCAAAACATGTACTTATCCCCACATACATAAGAATCTACATTTTATAATTTCATAAAACCCCCCTAACATTGTTCAATGCATGTAGTAGTTCGTAGTTACTTCATCTGATATGAACAAATTAACAATTTAACATTTAAAATTAATTTCAATTTTCTTATTCAAATTTTTTTAGTTATATGCCTAGAAAAAATTAATTATCAAATTAAAATTAAAATAAATAAAATTATCCACACAAAAAAAATGCTTTCAAAATAATTAATTTCGTATACTAATTATAATAAATTTGATTGTAATTATAAAATTTATTTTAGAAAATATTCACCGAAAAAAGCATTGAAATGATTCACCATTTATTGGTCAGCAAAAATTCGAATTATAAAGCGGAAAAAAACCTTTTTCTTACTTATATGCATTTATTAATTATTATTTTATAAAGTCTCATCAACTTTTGCCGCCGCCGCCACGCACGCATTTGGTGCCACGCGTACATCCACCCTGCCGCGTCACTTGCCAGTTGCCACCCAGCATTGTAGCAAATTTATTTTTAGAAAATTTACATACGAGTCATGTAATTCTTCTGTATTTACATATATAGCACATAAAAGTTAATTTTTATATTTATAATATTTTGGTATGTTGAATCTATACATAAAATGTGTACGTCACTTCTAACTAATGATAATGATATTATTAATGTAATATTAAAAATTTGAGTGTTTTTTATATAAGTATAATGTTTAGGCCAAATTTTTCCGTCCGGTTACCGTATGTGCGGATAACGAACGAGATGCAGGGGTGACCGGAAGGTCCGGCCACCGCTGCATCTCGTCCGTTGTCCGCACATACGGTCTTTCGGTCACCCCTGCAGCTCGTCCGTTGTCCGCACATATGGTGACCCGACACGAAAAACACTCAGTTTAGAAGTTAAATAAATGTATAAGAGAAGATTTACATAAATATCACTCAATTCTTATGTATTTACATCTCTAACATCCAAACTACGCGCCACCTTCCCTATGCATGAAAAAGTGTACTTCTATTTTTCTTAGATGTTAAAATGGAAATAGTAGAAATTTAGGTGCTAGATATACAAATATATAAAATTATGTGGTATGTAAATGTGCTTATAAGTTGAAATTCGTTGACTCTAGCTCGAGTGCTGTAAGCTACAAATTTTTTTTTTTTTTGTTCTTCTTTTTTGGGAAAGGTTACTTTATGAACATACGAACTCAATGTGAGAAACTATACCCTCAACAACTATGTCGCGGGCAAGCTCACTAGTTGTTCTCTATATAACTATTAAGGGTTTGTGTGGGGCGGTGTCGACAGGGTTTTATGATTTGATGCCCCTGACTATCGCTATTTGAAGCAGTATTCATGACGGCGTTCGCGAAAACGCTACCGTGGATATGAGTGTATCGTCGTTGCGTCTTTTGCCTCTTGTTTCGACATGTTATCCCCATATTACCCTCCCGTGGTTTCTCATTTCACTATTTTGTTGCTACGATTAATTACTTCTGCACGTTCAGTTTTTTGTCTCGTCTGAAGGTATCAAAAGCTAAACTTTTCATTATTTGTCATTCTCCTTCTCGTTTTGTTATGATTCAGAAACTATTACTTCTATGAATGATTTGGTTTAGGGTTAGAATTCGGCCTTTGGGTTTTTAGTTTTTTGTTTTGCATTGAGAAATAAAAGTTAGGGTTCATTGTTCTTTAGTTTTAAGATAATAAATTTGTATAATTGAGCTTTCATGTTATTTGGTTTTTTTTTTTCTCTTTTTATCTTTCGATTTGTTGTCTACCTTCTGTCGTTTGGGTTTATGATAGTAATATGTTGATTATCGAAGCTATGTTGAGGGTTGTTGGGGCATGCATTTCAGTTATTTGGGTTCGGTGTTCTTTCGTTTTGTTGACAGCCTTTTATCATTTAAGGTTACGATAATTATCTGTCGCGCATTTGTGCCTTCTAGAAGACTTGATCGTTTAAACAAAAATAATAAGGTTATAATAAGATTACTAGTTCTCAAGGCATCCAACAAGATCCCTAGATGATGTAAATAATGTACTTCAAATTTTAAATATGTAAATCATATTATTTTGGGTGTTATATGTATAAATCCTTCTTTCTTTTCATGGAAAGCTTGATGTAATGAGATTTAGCCAAATAAAACTTGATTTATTTAAGTATTTTTCAGCACATTAAATTAAGCTGCACTTAGAACAAATGTGTAACAATGCAGGGTCAGATCATATGTAGGCATATACTTCCTCCCTCCCCCTTCAGAAGAAAAAAAAAAAGGCAGAAAATTTACATACATAACAAAAGAAATTCTTATTTATTGACATATCAAAGTCCTAAAGTTTGATTTTTACATTCATAACACTTGGATGTCATAAACCTCTGCATGAAAAAGTATATTCCACTTTTAACATGTTCATAATTGTAAATATGAAAATTTAGGGATCAAATATGTAAATACAAAAGATTTCATGTGAGATGTTTGTAAGTACTGCATTTTAAGACTCCTTGCAATAAAACAATTGCCTATGGAACCTTGTGCGGCGGTGGGGCGGTGTGGATGGCGGCACAACGGTGGTGGTGGTGGCTCCGCAGCTCGAACCACCCAACCCTACCGCATTCTTCACTGCATCGGCTGCGCTTAGAGCCATTTGTTTCATCGTTCCTCTCTCTCCTGCAGGAAGCCCGCAGCGTTCTCCAACTCTTCCTCCACCGTTTCGCACGCCTGCTTGCCTGCAATCTCATCCTTATTAACCTACAGGAATTTCGACAAACACCCTGCGTGCATTATCAATGTTTGGTGGAAATGGGGAGAAGAGAGTGAGGACGAAGATGGGTTATATATGTTGCCAGCTTTGTAAATGATGTTGGATTGATCTGCCATTTTGATTATGATTATCATTGGGATGTTAAATATTCGACATATAGTAGTAGCAATTATATTTTAAATCATGAGTTTTGTCGTCGCAAGCATAAGAACTGCTTATAAGCCATGAGTTGTTCTGTCTGAAGGGATCTTATGAGATCAATCGATCTTTTATAGTTACTTCATCTTGGGTTATAATAATTTTTGTTAGAAGCCATGAGCTGTTCTATTCCAAGGGATCTTATAAGCTTATGATTGATATTTGTCCAATAGAATAAATTAAGTCAATCTAAACTTAGAGAGGATTTTGTGTCCTAGCAAACTGCCTTTCGATAGGGCAACGAAAGATAAAGTGATATTTTAGAAGGAAGATGCAACGAATATGTTTGTATATTCTGATTAACCATCAAATATAACGTGTACTTAAATTAAAAACACAAAATCGATACAACAAGGTTCCATGGTCTAGTGGTGAGGACATTGGACTCTGAATCCAGTAACCCGAGTTCAAATCTCGGTGGAACCTATTTTTTATTTATTTTAAGTTTATTTACATAAATACCACCCTATTCTTATGTAATGACGAATGTAGCTTCTAATTTTTTTTTAATATTTATAGGGCTTAAATTCTTAATGTCATATAAAAATATTAATCTTTATTTTTCACTTTAATTTGTTATAATCGTGCTCCAAATCGTGTGATAATGTAAAAAATTAATAAGACAATAAAATTGCCAAAATATGTATTTTATTTATGAAATATTCTTATTTCTGACAATTCTTTAATTTGTATTATTAAAATACAACCTAATATTTTAAATATAAAAATTAAATTAATAAAGCTCAGGGTTTGTTCGTGATTAATTAATTATTTATTTTATATTATTATATGATTTTAATATGTTTTAATTTTTTGTTTCTAAACAAATAAATATGTTTTTGGGTATTTTGAGTGTTTTAGAAAGTAATTATATCTTAATTAAATAAATCAAATATAATTTGTTTCAAATCAGAATAAAATAAAACAAAATAATATATATAT